AACGTACCCACACCAGAGTCAGGATGGGGATTTTGCAACACAAACCTAGGAGTTTTGTGAGTCACGCATGACAAGTTGCACTCTGCAGTGTAGTGCAGCTTAGCAAGTGCAGCCGCGTCACAGATTTATCTGCTCATCCTGTTCACAGCATCACAAATTCCAAAACACGACTGGAAATGGCTCTCATGGAGATGCGCATTACAAGTCTTCCTGTCTTTGCAAATCTGCATTACAACTCTGGTGTGGGTACGTTTTTACTCAGGATAGCAGTCCTGCATGCTGCAGTCGGGGCTGCACGGGGGAGCAGGTTTATCGCAAGAAAAAACTGTTTCACTGTAAACTTGTAATGCAGAAAGTGTATCTCAGAAGTGTTTGTCTTGCGTCACAGGCAAGACAGGCGATTTTTAGCTGTGTTTTCCCTTGGGATGAACCTCGCATGGTAAGTTTTCCCTGTCGTGTAGTAGAGCAAACTTGTGATGCAAAACTTGCAAAATGCTTACAGTGAAACACTTTTTTCGTACGATAAGGTTTGAGCGACGGCATGACGGCGTACGAAGCCCCTGCTCCAGCTGAAACCGCCGCGGAAAAAAAGAAGAGGATTAAGAACCAGGTCGCGGCGCAGAAAGTGAAAGCGGGTCAACAAGAAAAATCTGCAAATGAGGAAGAGTCCTCAGTGGCGTCTTCGACCAAATCGACTAAATCGAAGACGAAAAGTGGAACATCCAAGTCCGGGAAAACGACGAAGACGAAAACGGCTTCGTCCGCCAAATCGAAAACCAAGACAAAAACGGGTTCCAAGAAGTGAACTGGTTGAGAAGTTTTTAAACCTTTGAAGATACTTCGTGCTAGTACCACAGACAGATTGCATTTTTCATCTCAATATACACATACAATTTTTTATTCGCAGATACTGACTTACTACACTTTTGACAATTTTAACTTACTTGACAGATATTCGAAGAAATTCTATCCCGTTTCACTTTTGACAGATGCAAATTACCTTTTCAGATTTTAGCCAAGGACAAACCGAGAATTGCTTCCACGTTTCACAAGGCACAGTTTTTGTACAGTTCGGAGGTACTCGAGTTTCACTCTCAGAAAAACACATGTGTACTGTTTTAGCAAAAAACTATCGAAGGTTTCTTTTTGTAATACGGAAATTGAAACAACACGACTAGAAGTCAGGTTACTATTTCCACAAGCACACTCTGAATTTTCCAAAAATTATCCAACTTTTGATCTGCCTGTACAATGTAGTTTCGCTTTGACAGCGTGGTAATAGAAGAAAGGTTCGTTTTATTTCCGCCACAGACACAATTCTTCCCGACAGTAGTAGCATTTTCAACGACAGAAAGAGGCTGAGGTTCTTCTTCCAATCGCCTGCTAAGTAGTAATCGCGTAAATTTAAATTTTATCAACGGAACAATTTCAACATCATACACCTTATGGTTTTGTCTTAAACTTTCGATATCAGTTTTGTTACGAAGAACTTGATTATGTATACGCCTTGTCCACTTCTTTTTCGACTACAACATGTAAATTATCGCTTTTGAACAAGATGAACGTACTTACAAAGTTGCAGAGATAGTTTTTCGTTTTAGATTTGGTGACCATAAATGCAGCAGTACTGGTAGACCACTTGCACAGAATGTTTGAACAACAAAAAAAAGCGCCACCTTCGGGGCTGTTTGTCGGCTCTAGTATCTCGGCTGCTCTGCAAGAACTTCTGTTTGTTGTTCGCAAGGTGTGCTTGAGTTGTCAACAAAAGGAAATCGTGTCTGCGAGCAGTGAGCATCTATGTGAGTCAACTATTTCGGTTCTAGGACAACTATTCATCATACGACACAGCCGCGGGCAAGAAAGGACTACTGATACGCATAATTTCGAACATGATAAACAAACAGTTCTTTGGATCAAAAGCGAGAAATCCTCCAAATACAGATCTTGGGAAGAAATCGCCGGTCTTGGTCTTCATCCGTGAGATCATAGTTCAGAAGTCGGTTTTATTCTCGAAAATTTGATCAATGTGAAAAAGAATAAAAATCCGATCGTCGTGTCCGAAAATAATGCTTGTGCACAGGTCTTGGTGCAGTTCTGAGAAAGCCCCCAAATTTATCCTTGACCACTTCGTGCTGACAAAAAATCTAGAAATTGACACATAATACAACTCAATTCCGCTTACAGCAGCTTTCATCGCGAGAAACCAAGTGCGATTCGATAAAACATTTATAGTTTTTCCACACAACTTTTTTACACGCCTTTCAAACACAAACACTTCTACTGGAAAGCACGATTATTACGTAGTAGCGTCAACACCCGCTTAATAGTATTTACACTACAGATAGGGCGGAAATAGACACAAGCGTTGTTTAGAAATTTTCTTCCAACTACGAGCTAAATCTGTCAATAAATTGTCGTACAAGTTTACAAACATTCATAAGGATAGTACGAATCCACTCGAGTAGTTCTAACCTGAGACCGAATAGGAAACTATACATTTGTGCACATTTACCAGTAGAAACACAGACATCCTCTCGTAAAAAGAAAATAGCTGTACTACCTGTACAAATCATACACTAAAAATCTGGTAAAAGCCTGGAATTATCGTTGGTTACTACTTCTTGGTGTTACTTAATCTCATTTCATCGAAAAAATGTTTTCCAAACTCGTAGTCCTTTTTACCGCCACGGTGGTGCAAACGTCTTTGAGCTCCGGCAGCGGGGGAGGTCACGAGACGACCGGCCCCGGCTCGAGTAAGACGAGGAGAGGTGGTCGCAGAGGACACCAGCACCCGAAAGGGGCCGCAAACAGTGGCTCCAGCTCCTCCTCGTCCTCCTCTCGTCCCCTACTGCCTCCGTCCGCTCTCATCCCCGGCACGCAAGGCATTGTCGCGGATGAAGCTACTGCGAGGTTGATGGGATACGATGGGGGGTACCACCCCGGGAAAGGTACCTGCCCGAAGGGAAAGGGGAGTGGACGACAGGGGCAGGAGCATCGGTCCTCTGCAGAACACCGACAGGGCCTCCTGCAGGGCGTCCCGGCGGTTGCGGCAGCCGGAAATACTGTTCCGCACCGTCCCCCCGTTGTGGTTTCGGTTGCAGCAGCGCTAGAGCAGCAAGGCCAGCACGGCGGCGGTGAAAATCAGGTGCCTGCTATTGGAGCGACGGACACTGGCGATGCTGGCTACCTGTTCCAACATCCACTGGCGGCACAACAGGCTCTCGTGCAGGCGGTGCAACCACCCATGCAGCAGATGCAGCAGTCGCAACAGATGCAGCAGGCGCAACAAATGCAGCAGTCGCACCCAGGTGTAGGTCCAGCTGCAGCTCCGCAAGGTGTCCTTGCTGTGCCGACGGTCGTGCCAATGCAACCTGGTGTTGCCGTGCCGATGGGCAACATGCAAACCGTTCTGACACATTTCACCGGTTGGACCAGCGCACTGAATCCTGTTCCCGCGACAGGAGTGGTTCCAGCGGCTGCTCAACATCCTGTGATGCAACAGCAGCAACAACAGCAGCAGCAGCAGAAACAGCAGTCTAATACTGTCCCCCCAGCAGCCGTGGGAGTTGCCATTCCTGGCGTCGGAACAACAACTACGATGCGACATCCACCCCCACCACCACCCGCACCGCCAGTACTTGTGCCAACTCTTTTGGCAACGGAAAGCCATGATGGAAAAAATGTGGCACAGCAGCAACAGCAGAATGTGTTCCAGCAGCAACCACCTTCCGTCCAGCCCTGCAACCACCACAATTGGGCAGATTCGAAAACACCTGTCAGTGGTGCTACGACTAGCTGCGAACACTCTCAATCGAAACCAACGCCACTAAATTCCCAGGCGTCCTGTTCCTCCTCCGATAACCACTCTGTCAAGTCAGACCGATATTCCAGGCGCGCGATGGAGCGGCAGGCTCGTGCAGCAGAGAGAATTGCCTCGGGAAAAAATAAACTTCCTGACCCTCTGCCGGTCGGGCAGCTACCGAGGGAAGTACAGAGCCAGAGGACTGCTCCTTCTATGGTGAGTGTTCCCGAGGTGACTGTCGCGAGCACTGGTCGTGGGACCGCAACCTCTGCACCTGCAGGAAATATTAAAAATACATCCGAGGCACCCGCTCCCACGACAGAAAATAACTCTTCTGGGTTTACCGGCCCGATGTGGTTTCGCAAAGACGCAATTCCACTCCCGGATAAGGGCGTCGCGAGTGCAGAGCCTGTCTCGAAAGGCTTCGCACAGCACGTCCAAGGCAAGCGTTGCCCCCGGATCTGCAAGTACATGCACAAACCGGGCGGGCCGTCGTGTAAGGACGGAAAAGATTGCGACTTCTGCCACCTCTGCCCCCGACCGGGGAGAACGGAAAGTGGGAAGCTCGAGACCTGGGGGTCTGACCAGCCAGTGAGGCGGAATGCGGACGGGAGTTCCCGGTGGAAAGGGTACTATATGCATTGCAAATATGTCTGGGCCTGGAAGAGTGTAACTTGTCATGCTACATCTGGATCGTGGAAAAATCTGTGTTGCATGATTACCGAAAGAGATCCACTTTTGAACAAGTTTAGAGGCAGTTTCTCATGCAGGAAGGGCATGATAGAGATCTCACAGAACCTGTCATGCTAGGCCGTGCATGGCAGACCGCGTGTGTCATGGAAAACCTGCATGACAAACCTACCAATCTTCCAGACCCAGACATTTTTGCATTTGATATACTACGAATCGAAGCAGTATGGAAAGATGGACGAGAATGTTGTAGCGCCGGAGGCGCAGCATCAGCAAGCTTCAGTGCCAAGGGCGCCGGGACCATCTACTTCCTGGGAGATGATGCGGCACAACGACGCTAGGGCCAGGCAAGCGAAGCAAGCTGGTCGAAGTACTTCTTCTAGAACTATGGGGCCACAGCTTAGCAACAGCAGTGCGGCTTCTTCTTCAACGGCGTCGAGCTCCGCAGCACGGTATCATCATCCAGGAACATCACGAAGGGGCAGTACAATTTCTACGGCAGCCTCTTCCAACGCAGGATCATCTTCCCGCGCGCCGTCTAGTTGTACAACAACTCGAAAGGCCGCCCGCTCTAGATCCAGATCGTCATCTCGTGATGAAAATAGGAACAAGAAGATGAACATCAAGCGCAACAACGAGATGAAGGGTCGTCAACAGCGCTCGGTCTCTCCCAAGATGAGCAGAAATGAACATCAACAACGACAGCCGGTGAAGGACGTTGTTGAACCAACAGCAGCCGCCAGTTCCGCCGCGGCCTCAAGTGCGGCCTCAAGTGCGAGTGTGATCGCGGAATACGACCGAAATCACGTCCCGACGAAGCGTCTTCTATCTGACAGGATTAACGCCTTGTGCCTAGACAGGCCGAGGTACGAGAAAAGTAAAGAGGCGGATAGTATATTCGGGCAGAGGTGTAAACCTAAAGAGGCAGGCAGCCGTTCTTCGTCCAGCAGTTCCTCTTCGGGGTTAGAAACGGACACGGAGGACGAAAGTTCTTGTGACGGTAAAGTGGACGACGTCCAGGAGGCTGTAGTTCAAGATGCGAAAGCGCATGAAATGGAACAGGGAGCAGGTCGTGCAGAGGAAATTAAAGCCCCGACGGCGCCCTCACAGGTGGAAACAACTTCTACAATTCCCACAAGAACTTTAGACGCGGAAACAAGTAAAGACCAGAAGAAACAGGCGTTGTTGGAGAAGTTCAACAAGCAGTATCCTCCGCCACAATCACAAAGCCAAAAGGACCGCGTGCCAACCCCCTGGGAGCTTGTCGCAGGAAGAAGAAATCTTCGTAGGGGTGGGAAAGGTACGGATTGCAAAAATGTCTGCGTCTGGAATAGAACAAACTTGTGATGCGTATTTCAGAACACAGAAAAATCTCTCATGCATAGGTAGCAAAAGCTGCCCACTTTTTCTCACCAAAATGGGGGATTTGTCATGCCGATTCGGCATTGCGGAAGCTTCTCGAAACTTGTAATGCTAGAGCTTCCATGCCAGACTTTCTGCGTCATGCAAAAACAGCATGGCTCCTCTGGACCCAGACATTTTTGCATTTGATAAAAGGGAATTCTCAGCGTCACCACTACAATACCGACCACTGCTCTCCGCTCGTCTTCGCGATGAATTTGGAGCCCAGTGTATCCTGAGTAAAAACGTACCCACACCAGAGTCAGGATGGGGATTTTGCAACACAAACCTAGGAGTTTTGTGAGTCACGCATGACAAGTTGCACT